CCATCTCTGCCAGTATCCATCTAGCACCCACATAACTGTAAAGCTTTTGAATAAAAACAGAACTCTTGAGGGAAGACAAGAAGAAATAAGAAAAAGAAAACAAAGAAAATATATTAAAGTTGGACTAAAGAAAAAAGTGAATTTACTAGTCTAACAAAACGATGGTTATCGACCTTCCTCTCTCCTCCCCCTTCCCACTGTCTCTAGTGAAGACAGGGGAGGGATATCTTCCGCTTGGTAGAACCCCTCTGTTGCAAAACGATCTTCACTTGGATTGTTCTGCTTGTCATGTTTGAGTCCTTGTTAGTGACAGTGTGCTGCTGTCAATCACATCTGAGACTGCCCAGCCCTCAACCCTCCTGCAAGGGTTCTGGTGCATATCACCAGCTGTCTACGGGCGAGAGGCAGGGTACATCCTGGACAGGTCGCCAGTCCATCTCAGGGCAACACAAGAATCTGTATTTGTTATATCTTGATAGTGTATTTATTATATCTGAATGTGTATTTATTTGATCTGAAATACATTTCTTCATAGTCAAAATAATACAAATGCTGATGAGCAATATTAGGAATATGGAGATCTGAAATTAGTTTTTAGACATCCAGAATGTTTATTCCAGATTTGGAGGATGACATTTTGTTTGAAATGGTCATTTTGACAAAGAAAAATCTTTTTTTCTCTCTCAGATATCAGGAATACATAATCAGTAAAACTAATAGATATCAAAACAGGTTGCCACTGAAACATGTAAAGAGGCATGGAGATCTCTAATTACAAAAAAATACTCAGTGTCTCTCAGGAGGAGATACAGAGATCCATAGCTCAGGTGTGGATGTGTTTCTGCAGAAGTAGACAATATTGTTTTCTTTTTTTTTTCTAGCAGTGAAAGGTAAGTTGTTCAGACCTTATATACTGAGGTGAATACTTTTATTCAAGATAAATAACAATTGTGAAAGAAAGCCTGCTTGAGGCTGCAAAACACTTGCAATTCAGGTAAAGGTTCATCTTCCAGTCTTAACCCACTTTGAGAGCTTTACTTGGAATGGCTTAGATCAAAGCATAGAAACGTGTTAGAATGTCCCAGTCAAAGTAAAGAACTAAATCAAATCGAAAATCTGGGGCAGGACTTGAAAGTTGATGTTTACTGATGCTCTCTATTCATACTAATCAAGACTGAGCTAGTTTCAAAAACAATGGGCAAAGGTTTCAGGCGCTAGATGTGCAAAGATAATAGACAAAACCCCGAAAAAACTTGCAACTTGACTCGAAGCCTTAGTGCGACGCAGGGGGAGCTGAATCCACACACAAACCACAGTTCAGGTTTCTAAAAGAATTGTTTTTAGCAGACAAACTTTTTCCATCCACTTTGCAGAATCCAAGTGAATTATATAGAAGCTTTTCATAACATTACAAAGTGTGTAGAAGTCCTAGGTGTATAAGTGCTTCTGCAAGTTACTCTAAGAACCAATTAAATTTGGTGAATGAAACATGAAAAACAGAAAGTTATATCAGTGAAGATTAATTAAACTCTGCCGACTTTCTGCTCTGCAACACTGCACCCAGAAGTGTTAAAGGTTTTAGATCTGCACTGAATCCGCTCATTTAAACACACACGCATGCACGCACTCACACACACATACACACAAAAACACCCTGTTAGTTTTAAAACTTTCCACTTAACCCTAATCGCACAGGTTGACTGAAACAGAACTTTTCCTTACCTCTTTGGCAATGTTGTGCCAGTAGACGTAACTCTCACAGATGTTCATCTGCTCCTGGTGAAGAAAACGGCACCTGTCGGGCACCAACAGGGCTTCACTCACATACTCGCCTTCTGCAGCAGAAAGAAAGGAACTCAAAACTGGAACAGAGCAGCAAATTAAACAATTAAGACTGCTATAACAAAAGTACATCTACAATAAAACCATAATTCTGGGACTTTCTATATTAATCTATACGCTTATTACATCTTTAATCAAATTAATATTACATTTTACATGTTGCTTAAGGCTTCAGAAAAAAGAAATCAACCTATTGAACATCCCGTACTGTAGAAATCAGATATACTGCAGAGCTCACTACTCCAAATCCTTCCTTTAAGCATTGTTAGCCTATCTGGCCCTCTAGTGGATGTAAATATATAAACAACCTACTGCAGTTCATGTATTCATTGTAATGCTGCGTTAGTAAGCCCTAAAACCATGCATACCATTGATTCATGGTTTCACATTCTTATGATATTTATTTTTAAATATTTTTTTAATTATTGTAATAGTGAGCAAGGGAGGGTGTAACGGGCTGCACTTAGTCTAGTGACTGGGCAGCGCACAGCTGCAAGTGAGGGAATGATTTAACTATGTCAAATGTTGGAATGGAAGATTATTTTTCAAATCTAAATGATTTCTTAACTGGGTTTTGAGTCATAAAACAGGTTTTTGAGAGAGGAAGACCAATTCCAATTCTTAAAAACCAGTACCTATTGGAACACCACAAAAGAGGTTGTAGCTTAGACTGGCTTATGAATAAGGGCATAATAGGCCTAACAACCTGAAGGTAGGGACCTGGAGGTTTTATAGACTATTTTATCCCAACCTCCTTGCTCTGACTTCATTAATAAACACTATGCTTCAAATAAACACTATGCTTATGTTTGGTTTTAATTCAGCAGTGTGGTCAAGTGAAATTCTAGGTTTTTTCTTTACTGAAACAAAATATATTGTATTGTATTCTTTTGTATAACAGTCTGTAACACTTCAATTTTAACAGGTTTGTATACACATTTCTCACAATCACTATCTGGGTGTGTGTGTGTATGTATCTTTTTTTATTTTTATTTTACAGCCAGACGCCTATTTAATTATACTTAAAATGATTATATCTGCATGTTCCACATATCCTGGCCTAATAAAGCCCCAACTTGATTTCACAAGAGTAGGAGCACATCAGTTACATGATGCTGATTAATTCTGTGTAGCCAGTAGTATAGTCAGTGATTCTATTACTTTATCTGCACTGGTTTAATTACTGGTTTTTTTATTATTACCAGTCTGTTATTCAGGGTTTGTGAAGTAGACCTCTGGAACATATTAGTGTAAATTAATATTAGTGTTTATGACATTTAAACATGGGATAAGATGCCAAGATCTAAGCGGTATCAGAGGTCAGAAGAGTAGTATAATAAATGTGAATTAACATATCAATATAAAACTAGGGATGCAACTATTGGGAAACTCAAACAGAGGACAAACTTGAGGAGTTCATCCCGACCTTATCTTTTCCACAAAGGCCAAGTTAGGCTCAACAGGTGTGGCTATGTCAAGCCAGGTGTAACTAATCAAGCTAAATGCAGGTTGTTCTTCAATAGACCATGTGTCAATCACACATGGTCAAAATGAACAGCTATTAAAGCTACAGTGTGTAATTTTTAGTGACATCTAACGTCCAGACTGCAGACCGCAGCAACATGAAC